GACAAAAATGTTCTTAATCCTCCCCAAAGAAACCAAATAATTGTCAGAAAGGTCAGAATTAAAGTTAGCAAAGGGTCAGGAATAAATTTTAACAAAACTAATTAATGGGAAAACCCAAAGACCCAAGATTTAGAGATAAAGACACCGAGGATTTTTATTCAGGAGAAAGAATTCTTAGATTTCAAGAACTTGGTCGCAGTGAAAAACAAGAAGCTCGCCGTAAAGTAGTCATAATTTACCAGGCTAAAAATTGGAAAGAAATCACCACTTATTTTCCTTATGGAGAAAGTGGTAGCAGATTAGAAAAACTTGGTAAAGATCAGCACAGCATCCGTTTAAGTAAAAAATATCGCTTAATATTTAGGTGAGATAAAGCACAAAAAAAGGCTTATGATATCTGAATTGACCCTCACAGTAAAATGTATGGTAAGTAAGTAAAATGTATATATAGTTAATGTATAATTAATGAACAATATATGTATATGGTAAAAGATAAAGACTTACACCCTATTCATCCCGGAGAAATATTGCGGGAGGAATTATTAAAAACTTATCAGATTACTCCCCAAAAATTAGCCCAAAGTATCAAAGTAGAGGAGAATATTGTTAAAGAAATAGTTAAAGAAAAGAGAGATATTACCCCTGAACTCTCTTATCGTCTTGGTTTGTATTGAGGAGTAAGGGAGGATTATTGATTAGATTTGCAAAAGCATTACGAACTAGAATGCTGAAAAGAGCAACAAGAATTAAAAAAAATTGTTAAGCAAATTCAGCCGATAAGTATGGAAAAGGGGGCAGAAGTTTAAGCACAAACGAAGATGTGCGGAAAAGGGAAAAAGGAGGAGGTTATTCCCCCTCCTCTGGACATTCCAAATGTTCTACGGCTTTTAGTCAGAAGTTTAAGCCGTAGGTGGTTAAGTTCCGACCTAACCGAGTGGAAAAATATTCCTCCTTATCAACTTCGTTAGCATAGTCGCTCACATAAAGGCGATAATTGCCTTGACTAATATCCTGCTCCGTAAGATATTGCTGACAAATGCCACAGCAAAATTCCGATAAACAATCAGACTTATTAAAAGTTCCTTGAAATTTTAATTCGATAGTTGCCATGATTATTTGGTAATTTCTGTGGCTTGTTGGTTGTTAGTTACGGAAAGCAGGATAGAGCTTACCACCAAGGTTTTTTTGTTTTTACTTATGTTAAGGAGGTTTACTCCGTTATTATTTATGAACTTATTATTCATACTGAAACTAAAAAAATAACCTCGTAGAGTGCTATTTCCCAAATTGTTTAGTGGGAAATTAAAAAAACCCTTTTTTTATTTTGTTTACAAAAAGCAGGGTTTAAGTCAAAATAAAATTAATAATAATAAGTATGAGTAATAAATAATAATGATAGAGTTAACCGCCTAAAAAACTAATAAAAACTTTTAGAAAGCCAAAGAAAAAAACAGGAAAAAGAGATTAAAGAATTATTGAGAAAGTGAACAACAAAAATGGCACTAAAATAACCGAAGTAGTTATAGTTAGGAAAAAGATAGAATTATTAATTATTAGAACATCAAAAATATAAGAAATTTATGGGAATATGGAAAGGGTAAATTAAGCCTTTGGATTAATTGGGGTATCGGGGAAGTAGTGATAAAAAACTACTTGGGCGATGATAAAAACCCATAAAAGTTAACTGTTATCTATGTTAACTGCTAACATGGTTAACTGTTATCTTAGTTAGGAAAACAAACTAAAATATAATATTATGACCCAACTAATAATAATCAAAACTGCTAATGCGGAAAAAATAAGAACTTTTTTAGATCAAGAAAAGCAAAATTATAAAGTTTTCAATCAAACTCAACGCAAGAAAGATTTATTTGCTAACTATGGCGAGGCAATAAAGGATAAAGAAAGAGAAAAAGAAATTGCTTTACTAGACCAAGCCCAAGAAGAGGATGATGAAGAAAATAAAGATTGAGAATGATATGATAATTAAACGCGGAGAAGTTTATAAGTTTCGCGTCAGTCGCAAAGAAACCGAAGGAACCGAACAACAAAAAAACCGTCCAGCAGTAATTATTTCGACTAATCGCCTAAATAAGAAAAATTTTCGTTTTGTGGCAGTGCCAATCACCAGCAAGAAATTAGAGAAAATTTATGATTTTGATGTTCCGGTAATGGTGGCTAATCGGAAAGGTAAAGCATTATGCGACCAAATAAGAGTTTATAATGAAACTAGGCTAATTAAAAAAGAGGGAAAATTAGGTATTTTAAACGAAAAGGAGTTAAAAGAAATTGGAGAAAAGGTTTTAGCTTTATTAGATTTTGAGGAGTTGATAGATTTGTATTGAGAAATTTATGGATAAAAAGATAATTGCTTGCTTATCTCAAAAAGGCGGAGGCGGAAAATCAACCTTGGCTCGCTGTTTAGCGGTGGAATTAACCAAGCAAAAACTAAATATTTTACTAGTTGATTTAGACATTCAACAAAAAACCAGCCAAGAATGAGCGGAAAGGAGAAAAAGCCAAGATGCAAAACCTCTAATAAATTGTCAATCTTATCCTTACTTCCCACCCGAACTATTAAAAAAAGGTTATGATTATTTAATAATAGATGCTCCGGCACGAATAAGTAAAGAAAGTTTAGAAATTGCCAATCAGGCTAATTTAATTATTCAGCCGGTCAGACCTAGTTTGGATGACCTAAATCCTGCCATCAGAGAATTTAACGGATTATTTAAAGCCGGAATTCCTAAAAATAAACTAAATTTCTTAATTAATGCGGTGGGTTCTCCTGCTATGGAGAAAAACACTCGGGAATATTTATCCCCAGCGGGTTATTATATTTTCCCAATTGCCTTAGAGGAAAAAGTTTCTTACCAAGAAGCCCAAAACCAAGGATTGAGTATTGGGGAAGTTAAATATAAAAGATTACAAGAGCAAGTAAAGGATTATCAGAAAGAAAAAGTTAAGACAGAAAAGTGATTAAAGGAGAATTAATTTTAAAATACTTTTAACTTTTTTAATAAATCCTCTTTACTCATTTATTCTTTTTCACACTTCCCACAAAAAGTTAATTCTCCCTCACTATCTTTCTCACCATGATAAGTTAAGCATTCCACGCAAAAAGTTTTATCACAGCCATCACAATTATCAGTTTCCGAAACCAATTTTAAGCATTGCGAACATTTTATCTTTGCCATACTATTTTTTTCTCGTTCGCTCATAACTTTCTAATGCTCTTTCCAAGACCTCATTATAATGTCTCCTTTCCTCATAAGCAATGGATTTTAATTGTTCTATTCATTCTTTTTTAACTCGGGTAGCAAATAAATGAGTTCGTCCGGTTTTTCTTAAACTTCTTTTATCAATGTTTAGTGATTGAGTATTTTCACTAATTTCATTGATAGGTGCTGTGCCTCAATTTTTATTTTTAGCCATAGTTTTAATTATTATTGGTAATTTTGCTTATTATGCATTTGTGAAATTTACCTCCTTCTTTGAGTAAATCTCAGATACTTTTTTGCGGGTTGTGGATATTTCGCGTAATTTCTAATTTGTATAGTTCACCTATTTGTAATTGAAAGTAAGGGCAGTTTTTTTCAGGGATATAGAAATTTGATTTGCTTTCCTTTTTCTTTGAAAAGTGTAGTAATACCAAATTTACATTTTTTTCATCTTTGGTTTTTCCTTTGTATATTGC